TATAACACCCAGTGCTCATCCCCACAAGTGCCTTCCTCCATGCCCATCACCCCCCTTCCCCTCCTCCCACCACCATCAGTCCTCAGTTTGTTCTCAGCATTCAAGAGTCTCTCATGGTTTGCCTCCCTCCCTCTCCCCCACTATTTTCTCCCCCTTCTCCCCCACGGTCCTCCGTTAAGTTCCTCCTAATCCTCCTATACGTGCAAACATATGGTATATGTCCTTCTCTTCCTGACTTCTTTCGCTCAGCATAACACCCTCAAGGCCCATCCATGTTGCTACACATGGCCGGATTTCATTCTTTCTCATTGCCATGTAGTATTCCATCTTATAGATAAACCACATCTTCTTGATCCATTCATCTGTTGATGGACACTTAGGCTCTTTCCATGTTTTGGATATTGTGGAGAGTCCTGCAATGAACATTGGGGTACATGTGCCCCTCGGCATCAGCACTCCTGTATCCCTTGGGTAAATTCCTACCAGTGCTATTGCTGGGTCATAGGGGAGTTCTACTGTAAATTTTTTGAGGAACCTCCACACTGTTTTCCAGAGGGGCTGCACCCGTTTACATTCCCACCAAACGGTGTAAGAGAGTTCCCATTTCTCCACATCCTCATGAGCATCTAGAGTCCTCTGATTTGCTCATTTTAGCCACTCTAACTGATGTGAGGTGGTATCTCAGTATGGTTTTGATTTGTATTTCCCTGATGATGAGGGACGCTGAGCATCGTTTCATGTGTCTGTTGGCCATCTGGATGTCCTCTTTGGAGAAGTATCTGTTCATATCTTCTGCCCATTTCTTCACTGGATTGCTCGTTACCAAACTACAATTTAAAAATGGGCAGAAGGCATAAACATTTTCCCAAAGAACACATACTGATGGCCAACAGATACACATAAAAGATGCTCAACATCACTAATCAACAGGGAAATGCAAATTAAAGTCACAATGCACTATCACTTCACACCTGTCAGAAGGGCTAAAATCAAATACACAAATAAATGTTGGCAAGGATGTAGGGAAAGAGAATCAGGATTTAATTTTACTAAAAAATTCCTTACAAAGCATTGCAGTGGTATTTTGCAAATATTTTTACCCATTTTTCCAAATAAGAAAACTCAAGTTAAAAGCATTATATATCCAGTTTTGCCTCCTGAGAGAGATGGAGAAACAGCAGAGCTCCTGTCAGCAGGGCCAATCAACGAAATAAGGGAGAAACCATCTCAGAATAATCAGATAAATTCTGTAGCAGAATAAAAGTGTTCATTTCTCTGTATCTACTGGGAATTGACAAGGCCATACTTTGCTCCTATTCATTTCCAGATAAGAAATACTGAGTTATTTAAGTTTACAGGCACCTGGATTTAAGTGAGGTTTTATTAAACTGTGTTTGTTAATAATTAAGTAGTAGAGGAATGCCTATATGGCTCAGTTAAATGTCTGACTCTTGATTTGAGCTCAGGTCATAATATCACACTTTGAGTTTGAGCCCTGTGCTGTGCCCTGCTCTGACAGTTGGGGCCTGCTTGAGATCCTCTCTCTCTCTCTCTCTCTCACTCTCTCTCTCTCTCTCTCTGTCCCTCCCTGCTCACTCAGTCTCTCTCTCAAAAATAAATAAATAAACTTAAAAACTTGTTAGGTGTTAGAAAAATACCAAATTATATATTTTTATTTGGATTTCTTTAAAATATTGGAATTAACTGTCATCCTTTATGTGGGTGAATCAAAACTCATTTACTGATATGCTTTATTATTGATAGATGCTATTATTTTAGGAAATGTCATCTAAGACATGAGAATTAGATGATTACATTCTCTTTTTATCAGATATGCAGATCTATGGAGAATCCTTATATTCAGGCAATATGATCATAGTCCAGTTTGTCTCCTAACAGCAACTTACAAATATCTAGTCTTATTGCCCAGGAAGAGCCAAATTATCCTATAAAACAAATATTTATTATTTATATTTTTTATTTCAGACATAGAATAATTCAGTGTCCATGAAAATTAAGATAGGGACTCTCTTCAAATTGTCCATGGGAAAGAATGCACACACATTGGTACATGTACAAATACAGTTGAGATGTTTAATAAATGAGATTATTCCATTTTTATGGATGCATGGGAGTCATTGGAGGCTCTCCGCTGGGATATCTGATTTGATTTTGACAGATGATTACAAATATTCAGGTCAGGCCCCAGGGTAAAAGGCCCTATTGCTAGGGAAAACAAAAGATGTGAAAGCACAATGTCATCAGGAAGGATTGAACTTTAAGATAAGTGCTGGTTTTCAAAGGTAATAAGTTGGAAAATCCTGTCTCATAAAGGGGGCTTATTTACTAGAGACTAACTGGTTCTTATTGGTTATCTCTTCCCCTAGCAAATAAACTTTAGTTATATAACCTTGATCTTTACAAGAAAACTGGTCCAAAGTTGACTTTGGGTTAGTTTTCCACACATCACTTTCTCAACTTCATTTAGGAAACGGACAATAAGTCATTACATAAATACTCTAGAGGGGAGAAGATCCAGGTTTGTATTTGAGGAGTCTTGATCCAATAAAGAAATCATCCAGACATAAGCCTCCTTTACCATTCTTTCTTTCTTAGCCGACTTCCATCTCTTTTGTGAGGAAGTCATTATCTTATAGCCTTCCTATAAATAACTAATAGAAATAAAGAGAGAACACTAACCTACCTATCACTTCTTAGCAGTGCTAGGGCAGTTTTGTTTTGTTTTTTTTTTAAGTGGAACATGAAAATATTGCCTACGGTTAGGTTGGATTGTGGTTTTGGATTCCACTCACCCATACTTTCCCCTTTGTCTGTTTCTATGGATAGAGAATTAGTAGGAGAGTTAGATACAGTGTTGGTTTTCAGTATATTAATTTCTAGAAAGTAATTATGAAAGTCTACATGATTATGAATTATGGGTTAGGCTCAACTGCATAATTTAAAACCACATCCCACAGAATTAAAGACTGATAGACCATGAGATCTAAGGGAGGAAATTCTTAAATTTCATCAAATCAGAGATGCCCTGATCCACTTTTCTCACCCAAGTTTAGATAAGCGAAGATTTGGAGTATATAAGTAACTTGTTCAAGGTGATATAATAATTTGTGTGTGTGTGTGTGTGTGTGTGTGTGTGTGTGTGTGATCTTTCTGGCTTTGTTTGATGGTGTAGTCTAAGCAGGTACATAAGTTCTAACACTTATTCATTTGATTCCAACATTGATTTTTTTTAGAAGGTAGAAAATCAGTAGAACACTAATCCAGGTTATCTACCTAGATACCTTCATTTTTCTTTCATTGGCAAATCATTTAAGTTCTTATTCCTTCTTATGAGAACAATCAAATTAATTGGTGAATTAGTAATAAATTATTGGTAAACATTTATCATGGGATTCATTTGCAGATAATTAAGTATAATTACCTGGTTTTGATGGCCTTCTTTATCATTTAGAGATAATTCAATACAATTAAAATGTAAAATTAGTTTACCAGTATTGACAGATCATCCAACCAGAAAGTCACATGGATTAAAAAAAAAAAAAAGGTGTTTCAATGTCTCCAAACATTTAAAATTGGAAGAAAATGGGGTGCCTTGGTGGCTCAGTCGGTTAAATGTCTGACTTTGGTTCAGGTCATGATTTCATAGCTTGTGAGTTTGAGCCCTGCATTGGGTTCTGTGTTGACAGCTCAGAGCCTGGAGCCTGCTTTGGATTGTGTGTTTCCCTCTTTCTCTACCTTCCCACCCCCACCTGCTTGTGCTCTCTCTGTCTCTCAAAAATTAAAAAAATATTTTTAAAAACTTAAAAAATGAATAAATAAGTAAAAATAAAATTAGAAGAAAATTTTGTGGCATTTTTCTGCATACTTCAGTGTAATCCAACCTTATCATTTGGATTAATATCCAAGATTCAGTTTACAGGTTATGTGACCATATTTAATGGTATGTATTGAACAAGACTTTTAGAGATTCATATGGGAAGTAGAAACCATAATGTATCATGGCTTCAACGAGTTTATAAAGAAAGGAAGGAGCCAGAGTAATAAAGAAATCATGGCAATATTATAAGGGCAGGTATAATATAGAAGTATAAGTATATATTCAGAAGCAAATCCTATAGAGTCATTCCTGAGCATGGGTGGAAAGTTGCTTGGGAAGGAGGAAAATAATTTATCTTTACTGAAAGAGTATCAATGTTGAAGCCTTGATTAGTGTTCTGAAGGGAAGCGATAGGATTTTGGACAGTTGAAAGATGGTTCCAGTAGGGGGAACTTGAAGGTTCACCGTGGGTAGAGAAGTTGGATGAAATGTGGCAGGCAAGTTTACCTGGCTCAAGGGCATTATATGAATTGAGGCTATAAGACAACCCATGGGCAAAGTGATATTTGCAGGAGGTCACATTTATACATTCATTTTGTTGAAAGGGCAATATGATGTGCTCATCTGTGGATCAGACAGCCTCCCAAATATGTGGGAAGTTCTGGTGTATTGACAATATTGATTTTATAATTCTCTCTATATACCTATTCTAGGGTTTTAAAAATTATTTTCTCATTAAGACATTTTGCATGGTTATTTCTATTTGGCTAGACTATCTGAGGGCACAGGGACATTGCCTTTTCTCATTTATTGAGACATTCAAAATGCATTTATCTCTTGCTATGTGGCAGGCTATTTAAGAGCCCAGAGTGTGTTTAATTGAAGAAAACAGTTCTCTTTGTGCCCAATTCGACATGGAAGATAGAAATGTAGCCTTCACCATAATCTAGAAAAGGAGTTGTTAGGTACAAAAAACAAACAAAAGAACAATTTATAGTGAATCACAAAACAGTTTTATTTTCTCGGTATTATATTTAACACTCTTAGTTGTCTCTTCCCCGTAGTTGTTACACAAGTGCCTATGTGTACACAGATAATCATACATGATTTGCCAACTAACTGGGGGTCCATTCTAACTCTGCCTGCTCTTTGATTTTCACAGTCATGTGATCCCCACTCCACTCAGAGAAGAACCCGCCATCTGCTAAGGCCCTCACTGAATTCAAGGACATGTGCTGAAGACTCTCAGGTGCGGCCCTGCCTCCTCAATGAAAATTGCTTCCAGTTCCAGTACAACCTTACAGGTACAGTTAAACCCCACAGCAATGCCATTTTCCATGAAAGTGGACTAATGGGAGAATGCATGTGTGTGTGTTTTCATTCTTGGGATTCAGGACTGACTAGAATGTGAGAGTGTATTGCATGCAAGGTCGAGAATTTGACATTGCCAGTGTTCCTTCACAGAAAGAAATGCCCGCGCTTGGCATGTAGCTTTAGCAAGGCCACCTGGAATCTCCGAATTCCAAGATGCTTCAAAAGACTTGGCAAAGTTTCACAATAGAGCTGAATTAAGCCATGATAACCAAAATAACAAAATATATGCAGCAGGCAATAATTTACCATTTAGGGAAGAATGCGGTCATGCTGTCATAATTTAGCTCTTTTATGGCTTTTATTATTTCAAGAAATTCAAGCTTGTGATGTATTTGGTCTATGGGTCTCAATAGGATAAATAGTAAACCTGAGTGGACACTGATACTTTAGAGGTACTGGGAATCCCTCCACCTCATTATTAAGCCACTGCTCAGGATTTTCCTGGGCACCACAGTGTCTCATTCCACACATTGTTTAGTTACATTGATTTGCTACCTGCCATTCCCAGCAGGAGCAGGCACACAAAATGCCGCAAAATGTGAAACCGTGTTAAGTCTCGGCACTGAATTCAGTACTGATGGCCAAACCACCACTTGCTTGCCGAGGCAAAGCAATAGTCTCTTCTGAAACAAATTCCCCACTGAGGTCACAGTGGCACTACTGATATTTCTCACATAGAAAACTTCGTAATGAATTCTGGGGTGAGAGGGGGGGCAATCAGATTGTCTTTATTAGTGACAGATGACTTAGTGTATTTGCCCTCTTTCTTTAGTTAAAGGTGCTTCAGATCCTTGATTTTTATAGTAAATTTTCAGAAATAAGTGAAATTTGCTTTACTGGAAGAGCATGTCTTTAAAATACTGATTTTACTACGCATCAGTTTACTATTCCTGTTAAACTCATAGATCATTTATCAAATATAGAATGTGTCCTTAAGGACGTTCTTGATGTATATCATCAAAGGCCATTCATTCTTTCTAATCACATTAAAAGTCAGAGTTGTTTTTCTGGTTTGCTTTTTAAGAATCAGATTAATTATGGGATAATTCATTCAGTAGTCTAGTTTGCAATACAACTATCCAAATCTATAAAACCTTCTCTCCTGGGGGTGCCAGGGTGGCTCAGTTGGTTGAGCATCCAACTTTAGCTCAGGTCATGATCTCATGGTTTGTGAGTTCAAGCCCTGCATTGGGTTCTATGGTGACCGCTCAGAGCCTGGCGCCTGCTTCAGATTCTGTGTGTGTGTGTCTCTCTCTGACTGTCTACTACTCACGCTCTGTCAGTCTCTCTCTGGAAAATAAATTTTAAAAAACTGTTAATAAATAAATAAAACCTTCTGTCCTGAGACAATAACTTGAAAAAAACTAGATTGTCTGTAATATTCATGTAGTTTCGAGGTACCTTTCTTTCCTTTCTCAGTCTGAAGCTCTGCCATATCAACTTTAAGTCTCTCTCTGGAAAATAAATTTTAAAAAACTGTTAATAAATAAATAAAACCTTCTGTCCTGAGACAATAACTTGAAAAAAACTAAATTGTCTGTAATATTCATGTAGTTTCGAGGTACCTTTCTTTCCTTTCTCAGTCTGAAGCTCTGCCATATCAACTTTAAGTCTCTCTCTGGAAAATAAATTTTAAAAAACTGTTAATAAATAAATAAAACCTTCTGTCCTGAGACAATAACTTGAAAAAAACTAGATTGTCTGTAATATTCATGTAGTTTCGAGGTACCTTTCTTTCCTTTCTCAGTCTGAAGCTCTGCCATATCAACTTTAAGTCTCTCTCTGGAAAATAAATTTTAAAAAACTGTTAATAAATAAATAAAACCTTCTGTCCTGAGACAATAACTTGAAAAAAACTAAATTGTCTGTAATATTCATGTAGTTTCGAGGTACCTTTCTTTCCTTTCTCAGTCTGAAGCTCTGCCATATCAACTTTACCAAATGGTTTAGATGACTGGATTTATTCCTTGAAAATAGTTCCACATTACATTAAACAGTAGCATCATTTCTGGGTTCCTTTTCTATCAGTTATCCTCCAATAAACAGATGATTCCAAACTAGTTTTTCTTTACCATCCTTGTTGGTATCTTTCCTTTCCTCTTCAGCACAACAATGACATGGTCTCCAACAAACCATTTGGCTTTTTACTTTTAGAAAGCAAACTTAAGAAGGTAATTCACTTTTAGGGGCGCCTGGATGGCTTAGTCAGTTAAGCGTCCGACTTTCGCTTAGGTCACGATCTCGCGGTTCGTGGGTTCGAGCCCCGCGTCGGGCTCTGTGCTGACTGCCAGCTCGGAGCCTGCAGCCTGTTTCAGTCTGTGACTCCCTCTCTCTCTGACCCTCCCCTGCTCACGCTGTCTCTCTCTCTCTCTCTCTCCTAGAAATAAATAAAAGTATTTAAAAAAAAAAAAAGAAGGTAATTCACTTTTATTTGGCTTTTTATATGTTTTGCAGTAAAAGATTTTTATGGTGCTTTTTTAAGCCACCTGGATATTATTTTAGGATTATGTATATGCTATCCTGCCTCACCAATGCAAATAATCAAAGGTTTGTTGTATTTTGCTCACATGACCATAATTCTGAAACTCAGTGTGGTGATCCTATACCTGTAGAGTGGAGCACATGCCAGCTGAGTGAAAATGCCACTTGTGGACAAGGCGTCAGGACCCGCCTTCTGAGCTGCATACGCAGCGATGGCAAGCCAGTTGGCATGGACCAGTGTGAGCAGGTAATTTGTTTATATTTGTATCTCATGCTAGGTGCTTTGGGTTTCATTGTTGTTGTAGTTATTGTTGTTTGCTTTCAGGTTTTTTTCTTCTTTTATTGTAATGTTAGTCTAGAAACTTGATATTTGGTATAAATGACAAATATGATTCCTTCTTGACAAATTTAGGTTCAGGTGTAACTGGTATAGCACAGTTATACCTCACTAGTTTGAACTTAGTCAAAATGACTAGGAAAGGGAGGGGAGGGGCAAGATGGCGGAGAAGTAGGGAGCTCCATACCTGCACTGGCGCCCAGGCATCACACGGAAAAGATCTGAAGCCATAGGAAACCGTACCACACCCAAGAGATTGCGAGAGAAAGGATGCAGACACTGAGAAAGACTTCTAACGTGAGTGCGAACTGGGGAAGTAAAAATCGGGCCTGGATTGGAGACTGGAGAGACGGGCCACCCCCTCTGTGGGGAGTGAGAGGAGAAAAAGAGAGTCCAAAACAAAAAAACCTCCGCTCTGGGTGTAGAAAATCTTTGCGCACAAAATACCTGTGTGTCAGGCTCTCCCCACGCTCCAAGTCGCCCAGGAGGGGCTGCGCTCCGATTTGCTTCTTTGTGCTGGCTCCTGGCTGGCTGGGAGAGGTTGCACGCCTGCAGCCATTACCCTCGAGGCGGGCTTGGACCCCTAAGGAGCCTCACAGGCACCAGCGTCTGTGCTCCTAGCTGGCTGGAACTCTAGAGGGAAGGCAAAGTGCTAAAAACTGGCAGATGTGACCTCGAGTTCGTGTTTTGGGTGATTGAGACACAGAGGGAATTTGATTTCCTCAATCCAGCGGGGCTCAGCGCGCCGGCAGACAAAGCTCCCCACCCCACCCAGGCCCCCCAGCCCCACCTGGAGGATACAGGAGCAGCGGCTTCTGGCTCCACCCCCAGAGCTAGCCTGGAAGATTAGAATCGCCCTGAGGGGAAAGCCAGGGGATCGCCTGAGGCAATTTCAGCGGGGTGCTTGGCCTAGGATTTGGAGGCTGGGACTGGCCTGGGTTGAAAAGCACAACAAACTTTGCCTGAGCCCCTGGCTCAGGAAGTTTACACACCTATAAAAGCAAGGTGGAGCACCACCACTCTCCTCCCTACAACTTCCAGGCAGAACTTCCGCCTGACTCATTGGATCACACCACGCCCATCCCTTCTTGAGTGCTGCCTTCCTTCCTTTTCCCCTTTTTTTGTTTTTATTTTTTGTTTTTCTTTTTGGTGTTTTTTTTTTTTTTTCCTTTTCTTTTTTTCCTCAGAACACTGACCTGATTACCTCTGGTCACCGGCGTACTTAAACAATCAAATTTAGTCCATTCTGTAGATGTAAATTCTTCACCTCCCTACCTTTTCATCTCTTTCTCTCAGGAGTAATTAGACTATATAGTTTCTCTGGATGATACCAGCATTCTTCTCTCACCTATCCAACCATATTCTACCCTTTACCTCTTTGAAAAAAGCTTCGTATCACTTCTGCCTGTTCATTCTATTTCCAATTCTGCCTCATCCCGCCCGGTCTTCTCTCTCCTTCTCTATGCTCTTCAACCAGCACTGCATACACACGGCTATTTAACTGTAGCTGGGAAATCCGGTTATATGCTTTAAACCGTTCTTTGTCCATCGGTTTTCTTCTTTCTTCCTTTCCTTTTCTCCTTTTTCACCCTTTTATGTATTTTATACCTATTATTCGCCTTCCCTCCTCCGTCTTTTCTATTAAACTTTTTCGTTTTCCCTCTCGCTTTGCATGTTAGTTGAATTAGCCTGTGTGTTTGTGTGCCCCTGCTCCCTGTGTGTTTGTCTGTCTGTTTTCTTTTCCAGGGCTACCTCAAGAAACAAGCCAGAGTACAAAAGGTGGACAGTCCCAAATATCAGTACGAATAGGAAAATAAAATAACCAAGGTCCCAACAAGAGAGACCAAGAGATACCATTCAAAAAACACTCTCTGAAAGGATAGGCCCTGGACAGTCAAAGAGTCTTCTTGGATATAGCACCACTCATAGATACAGAGAAAAAACAGGTCTTTAAAACCAACAAGAGCCAGAAAGCTAACTAAAATGACGAAACGAAAGAGCTCTCCTCCAAAGAAACTCCAAGAAGAAATGACAGCTAATGAACTGCTCAAAACAGATATCAGCAGCATCACTGAACAAGATTTTAGACTAATAATGGTAAAATTAATAGCTGGGCTTGAAAAAAAACATAGGGGACATCAAAGAAACTATGGCTACAGACAGAATGGAAAATAAAAATAGGCATGAAGAATTAAAAAATGCGATCAATGAGATACATAATAAATTAGAGGCCTCCAATGCACGGATTGAAGAGGCAGAAAGGAGAATAAGTGATTTAGAAGACACCATTATAGAAAAACAAGAAGCTGACAAAAAAAGAGACCAACTGATCCAGGGACAGGAAAGAAGAGCTCGAGAGCTCAGCGACACGGTCAAACGCAACAATATCCGTATCATAGGAATCACAGAAGAGGAAGAGAGAGGGAAAGGTGCTGAAGGAGTCCTGGAACAAATTATAGCAGAGAACTTCCCCGACCTGGGAAAAGAAGTAAACGTTGAAATACAAGAGGCTCAGAGGACCCCCCTCAGACGTAATCT